CTTATTTTTTGTGGAGATAGGGAACTCAGCATGTTGTCCAGGCTGATCACAAACTCCTGGCTCAAGCAACTCTCCCGCCTCAGCCTCCCAAAGCACTGGGATTATAGGCTGAGCCACTATGCCCAGCCTGCTAAAACACATTACTTCTCTAATATTCACTGTTCAAATCCAAAAGTAAGTTTAACAATTCTGATTTGCATATTGGGAATAAATTAAATGATATACTTGCAGCTTCTAATGAAATGCAAGATGAACAGATGCAGATAGTAAGCATTTAATGAATATTTATTGAATAAAACCCACTCATTCTCCATTTCATTTTCTTTTTAAAAAATATAGAAATAATGGGTATAGATGTATGTAGGCATAAGTATTATGAATACATACATATGCATATATATGTAATTCCCTGTTCTAGGAAATTTCATCTATGGGGTGGGTGATAACCAGATGCTGCAATTTATTTTAGCAAAATACTTTAAAGTTTGGCTTTTGAAAACTATTTCTGAGACTAGCAAATTAGCCTCTTCATATTAAATTAGCTTTTAAAAAATTGTATTACGTATTATGTTACAAGGGTATCACCTGTCCTATAACTTCAGGCCAGTTGTTCATTTTCTTATTATGGGATATTTATGTATATATAAAGAAGGGGACAGATGGAAGCAGAGAAGAGGCATTGAAGTGATCATGATAAAGATTTCCAGAAACCTTCCTTTTCTTTTTCTGAATATTATTGAATTAAACACAGTGGTTCATTAATTCATAGTGAAGGAAATAACTGAAACTGATGATCATATTTTTCACATCAACTGAAGCTGCGTGACACAGTAAAAAGTGTAGAATTGAAAGTAAGAAAATCTAGGTTTCAGCCTAAACGCTTACCTGTGCATATCGCGTGACTTTGGGAAAATGCTGTACATCATCAGATTCTCAGATTCTTTATTGTTGAAATACTGTATTTAAAACTGATTTATAAATTAAGTGATATGCAAATATATTTCTTTGTTTTGGACATTCAAATAATGTATTAATGGCTGGGGAAAATAAAAATAATAACAAAATGTGATTTATTATCAAAGTCCACATGATTACAAACATTTTTCAGTTTTCTAAATAGTTGATAGGAAGCATGATATTGGTAAGGGAGGTTATATAATTATCTAGAGCAAGGTTTCAATAGTTTCACATGATCAGGATTTGGGGTCAGATAATTCTGTGGTGTGGTGTGGTGTGGGCTATCTTGTGCATTGTAGGATGTTGAGCAGACTAAATCCTCACTAGAAGCCAGTAGCACCACCCCTCCAAGTCATAACAAGCCAAAATGTCTCCAGAGACAGTAGAATCTCTCCCGCAGAGCAAAATCACCCTCTATTAAGAACCACAGATCTAGACAGTTAGCTGAAGCTTCTTTATTTACCCAGAATAGACTTGACCCAAAGATGATTAAAATAAATTGAAATATTTTTTACCACATAAGTCAGAAATGCACACATTTTTATATAGACAGATGGTATCATCCCATGTGCCTAATATTCTTTTTGGATTATATCTCACGTCACAGCAGAAGGCACAATCATTTTGTCAACTGTATCAGAATGTAATAACATTTATCATCAAATCAATGACCTGTATAGAGAGCGCAGATCTGAAATGACTTAATGTGACTTCTTTTTTAAAATAAAAATACTACAGTAATAGTGAGGCAACCTGACTTCTGTTTCTCTAGTGTTCTTCTTGCCTAAAAATAAGCTAAAGTAATTTGTCCTAGGAACTTTGTAATTTTTTTAATTTATCACTTTGCTGATTTTGTTTGGTAATTCTAAATTCAAGCCCTATAATCACTCATAAAAAAATAAGTTGTCCTCAACAAAACAACCAAAGATTTTTATTATGACAGCATGTTTGCTTTTGTGTGTGTGTGTGTATATATATATATATATATATATATATATTTTGAGACAGAATCTCACTCTGTCACCCAGATTGGAGGGCAGTGGCACGATCTTGGCTCACTGCAACCTCCGTCTCCTGGGTTCAAGCAATTCTCTGCCTCAGTCTCCCAAGTAGCTGGGATTACAGGTGCATGCCACCATGCCCAGCTAATTTTTGTATTTTTAGTAGACATGGGGTTTCACCATATTTGTGTATAATTTTTGACAAGTATTTTCTGTGGTAAAATTTATCTAGAGAAAAAGAGCAAAAGATATTTTTCCTGTGAAGATAGTATTACCAATGTCTTCTAAAATATCTCTGATGTATGTATATACACTCACCTACTAGAGAATAATAGTAAGCAAAAATAGGGACAATATAATTCACTGTGCAGTAGAGAAGTTATTAACAGGAGGGGAAAAAGTAGAAAACAAAAGCAGAAGAGAGTTAGAAAGAGCAGTACATGAGAGACAGAGGAGGTTCATTCCAGGCATTCCATCCAGAAACCAGATGTAATAGCACAAAACCATAGCCCATATATAGATAGTGACTCTGCATAAAGAAAAGTAGAAAGTGGACTAAGGCCAATTGGACCAAGTAAGGGGCAAGCCTTCTCCCAAGGACAGCACTGAGATATTGAAGTGTGATGAGGAAACGACTTCTACAATTGCTCAAGAGGCAGCCAAGATTATATGTAGAGCCTGCTTTGCAGGACCTAGATGAGCATTTGCTGCCCGCCCCCCCTCCCCGATTCTAAGAGAGGAACTGAGCAGCCTGCATAGGGTTAGAGACTCACTTTAACATTTCCTGGTAGGTCCAGGAAAGAACTGACAGAATCTCTCCAGATTTCTGTGTTACATTTGAGCATTGTTTCTTGAGTAACATTAACTTATTAGACCCAAATTCCATAATAATCCAGCTGAGATCTGAAAGGTGTTCTTTCAGTGCTAGACATGAGTCTAGACTTAAACGAAACCTTGGCTCCCTGGAGACTTCTAAGTTCCAGCCAGATGAGTCTGTATTTCCAATTGTTTTCTAATGTAGGTTCAATAAAGTAGAGTAGTAGTGGTTTATTGGTTTATGTTTTTTAAGGCAATACATAAATTAAAATTAGTCAGCTGCCATTCCTGGGCTAAGGAGTAGCTCTAATTGCTAAGAAATATATTCTGTTAGTTTTCAGCCATAGTCTTATTTCTCCTGCATTGAAATCTAATGTTATAAGATAAAATATTTTCTATTAAATTTGATACATTTAAGTAAAACTGCATATGCCTTCATCAAAGGAATGAGTACCACTCTTCAAAGCAGAATCAATTTGCAATTGTGACAGATGATGTTTCTGAAATTTAGCTGCAATTCCACAATGGTACTTTGATGTCTTTGAAGTAATTGACATGAGGAGTGATTCTGTATTTTACACTGTTCTACTACTTTCAGTTTAGTCATTCATCAGAGGGATACTCCAGAGGGCCCATGCTTCTTGCAGTTTTTATTTTGCAAACAACTTTGCATTGTAAATAAAAGTCTGCTTTAAAAAAAAAAAAATCTGATTTTACAATGGGAAAAGTTTTCTCATTTTTATATAAAAATCTGTTCTTCCCTTGAGACTTAGTGTTTATGATCCATAATATATCATGTATACTATATCATTTCTTAATTGACAAATAGTTCTATTTTAAGCAACATAGATTGCATTTTTTTATTTTTTCAAAAAAGTCTGAAGACTAAAGAATCAAACTAAACACTCTAATTCCCTCAGAAATTTCTGGGGAATATCTAGTCCGAGATTATTAGGAACCAGAAGGAAAAGAGACAGAAGAGAAATAGACTGGAATCAAATAAGCGTCCAAGATCTTGAAACTTGGCTCTTGACTGAGGTGTGAATACTGCCAGTCCACCTAATAAAAGCTCGGAGGCAGGTATAGCTGTTCCATAGTGATAGTTTTAAAATCTTTCATTTCTGATTGTTGTGGATTCAACATATTTCTAAATTCCATTATCCATTTGCATACCCTTCAGTCAAAAGATTTAGGATTAAATGCTCACGTCACTGAGAATCCCTATTTGTAACTGGCAAAATAATACAGTGTTCCAGGGTCACTAGAAGTAATGAAAAGGTGATAAAATTGAAATGGGTTTCAGAAAAATAAGAACAGTGCAGTAAACTTTTTACAAATATAAACATATTTCATTTAAAGCATTGTCTTTGAAATATGAGATTGTTCTTTCCTTAAGCCTTTTTGCCTTATAAAATAATTACTGTAGTCAACAGTAGGCTATTTATTGTTGTTTTTAACATCCATACTTGGCAAAATGAAAAGTTGCCAGTCTTATGTTAGTCCCCGCTTGTTTTCTTTGAAATGATACTAAACTCTAAAAATCTAGAATGGGAACCACTACTATTGAAAATATCAATGGGAACTTCAGTGATTTTCCTTTTCATCAAGCCCAGGGCTTAGAGGAAGGCATGCACAACTCACTGCCTGTTTTTTTTTTTTTTTTTTTTTTTTTTTTTTTTTAAAAAAAACTGAAGCTTCATAGCAACTTTGAGGGAGCTGGAGTTTTCTCGCATCTAAGACATTTTATTTAAAGGATAAATTGTATATCCTGGTTTCCATCAATTTCCAAGGAGCTGGATTAAAATATCATTGACTGCTAAAATATATATTACAACGTAGTTCCTCAAAGTTGTATCCGTTATGATTTCATTATTCCTTCATCTGAATCCCTCTCACATTGAAGATTTACTCTATTTGCTAAAATTTAATTTAGCATCATTTGGTTATTTTATAAAATATTTCTAAATTCCATTATCCATTTCCATAACCTTCAGTCAAAAGATTTAGGATTAAATGCTCATGTCACTGAGAACCCGTATTTGTAATTGGCAAAATCATCTGGTATTCCAGGATCACTAGAAGTAATGAGAAGTTGATAATATTGAAAAACATCCTATGTGATTGGACACAGACTTGAGAAAATATGGGGTGCCTGTGAGTTGGGTCCTAGGTGAGTTATGGTGCATTTGATGCTCTGCTGTTTTCTTCCTTCTTTCTCCTTTCCAGTGAAATCAGATGAGTTACAGACCATCAAGAAAGAATTAACCCAGATCAAAACTAAAATTGACTCCTTGCTAGGGCGCCTGGAGAAGATTGAGAAACAGCAGAAGGCGGAGGCAGGTAAGTGAAAAGGATCTGTGATCACAGACAGGTCAGAATTGAACCAGTGAAACATTGTCAATCACAGAGGCAGTACAGGGTCAGAAAGACACTGGTTGAGTTTAACAGCGGTTAATACAGATATGCCAACAATATCTTTAAGCCAAGAGTTGCAATAATAAAATATGATTTTTTTCTTTTAGAGAACATGAACCAATTTTTCTAAGATTCATACTAAAAATAAAAGGCAAGGAAAAGTGTTTTGATGGAATAATCAGCACTAGTTGAGTCACAATTGAGTTTGTCTCAATATCAAGTAAGCTTTCAGAAAATCAATTAACAGAATAATGCTATCAGGCTAACATAATATTCACATATAATTAAATTAACTGCAGCAAAATTTGATAGGTTTCAACAATTATTATAATGCCCCACTCCTGCCTTTGCTGCCACCCTGAAACACTTCAGTAGCCAAGTTCAGGAACCTCAAGACTAAGAGCATGTGCCTGGCTACCCACAGGCCAAGTTATTTGATTACGTGTTTTACAATTTAATAGCCTCTATCTTTTGAATTGTCAGCCCTGACCCAGCTCCTTTCTAGTACAACTCTAATGCTCTTTTCATATGGCTACAGATATTTTTTAAGTCACAAGTATATGAGAACTGGTATAAACTAAGAAGTAGGCCACAGTTTGAAAAGTGTGTTCTACAAGGCTTTAGATGCCTCTGAAGCCTCCTTAGAGTTAAGATGGGGATTAGGAAGAGACCCAGTAGGTAGCTAGACTTATGTTTCTTCAAAACCCAGCCCTTGCTCTGACCAGTGTCATTTCCCTGTATCTGTTCTAGATACTGGCATTCAATATAAGACTTAATTTGCTGGAAGAGTTCCACTTCTTATAAAACAAATAAATAAAGTGTGAAAGCCCTTGATAAATTTGGCCTCTTCATTTTGCAGATGAGAAAACAAAGCCTCAGAAAAGTAAAGTGATTTTCCTAGATCTGTATATCTAGTTAGTGATAGACCTCTGTCTCAAACACACAGGAGCCTGTCAAAAACTGACAGTGGCTTGTAACTGAATTTAATGCCTTTTCCCATTTACAGCCCCAATCTCAGGTTCTCCCCAGGGCTTTGGTCCAGGATTTCACTGAAGTAAGGCTATCTGGGTAACACCTAAATGATAAGAACTCATGGGGACCTAGGGCCCCTGAGCTACCACACACAGGAGCCTGTCAGTTTTTTGACTCTTATCACTGAGGTGAGTGTTGGAGCTTACCCTTGGTGGTGAGCCATATAGGGCTCAAGAATGAAAATAAGCAGATTTGAGATGGTAGTGTAGCATAATGGATGACAGAAATAAACTCTGGTTCAAATCATTACATACCACATACACAGTTTTCTCATTTATAAAATGATACTGATGGCTGCCTCACATGGTGAGTAATGAACAAAGTAGCATATGTAAATTATATAGCACAGAGTTAAAAATATAATCATTGGAGTTATCAAGGATTAGAAGCAACATACCCATGTACAGGCAAATGGACATTTCCTCGTACTTTCATACAGCCCATTTTTAAAAAACACAAGCCATGTACCTAGCACATGGTCAACTCACACTAACACTTGTTAAGGTAGATGAGTAATGATAGACTAAATGGAATCTTTCTTAATTAAAAATTTCTATTACAAGTGTATTTTCTATTCAGAAAAGGTACACTGCCTATACTTTTTAATAAAAAAATTTTAGATTTTAGAAAGTTTTTACATGCTGTCTATGGCACTGAGGTGTTACTGTAACTGAAATATTCTGTGATGTTGCCTAAATCAATATTTCCCTTTGAGGAACTCTGTAAAATTCATTATTATGTAAAACAACCCTTACAGCAAAGGACTTTGATAACCAATTTGCACTTCAGTTTAAAGGATTATGGAGAACTCATTTAAATATAAATCACCTCAAAGAGAAAAATGTGATCCTTATTCCATCATAATATACCTTCAGTTTCCTGCAATGACTAATACCTTCCACATATCTTTTTGGAAGATCATTGAGAAATGTAACACTAAAATTCAAAGCTTGCATCTTTTTTTCCTGAGATGTCACTTACTTTTGAACATGTTTAACCTTTTCCAGTCATGAGACAGTTGCTTTTAAAATAATAGACTTCGTCCTTTGATATTTATGTCTTTCTCTTTAACTTTTTATGAAGAAAATGAATTAATTTGTAACTCCATTCTTTTAGTAATTGTTTCCTGAATAGTGTCTGTATTTATAGAGATAAAAGATAAATGTTTTATACATTTTACCATATTTTCTTTATGAAGAGAAATCAGGGTTGCCTGGAAGGAATTAACACTACCTTACGGAAAGTTGAGTGAAATGCACTAAAACTCACTTTAAAATGCTCATTGCCTCCCTATTCAAGGGGACAGTCATTATAATGCTTAATTAGTTGAAAGCTAATTACTTGGTAGCTAGCATTTACTCTTCATTATTACTCTTTCATAAATTTCTCACTCCTAATTTACTATTAGTTATTTGATAGTGAAATTTTCCAGCAGAGAAGTAATGGCAGGAAGGAGATGGAGAATCGGAAAGTGTGGGGAAGGACACACAACATGGGCTGTGCCTGAGGTCAAGTTCCATAGTATCTTTTTTTTTTTGAAAGTAAACTCCTAAGCTCTCAGTACATTATTTAGGATTTTCTATACCTTAAATTGCTCAAATAGATGTGTGTGTGGTGTCCTGTCATTTGAAATTATTAAGTTCCTCAGAACAAGATCATATCTTCTCTTCTCTAACTCTGCCCAACACCATGTATTATGTACTGGGCACAACTTAGCAAGTCATTTAACTCTCTCAGGTCTCAAGACTTTCAAATGTAAACTAGAGGAATGGGTTATGGCCTCAAATGTATATTCCAGCTTCTAAAATTACGATTAGTGTGCATCCACCATGCATATATTATTTTTTCCATTACATCACACAACTTCTTTGGGGATATAGTGACTATGTAGAATATAGAAAACCAGAATTAACACTTAAAATCAGTTTGGCCAGCAATTTTGCCTCATTCTTAGATAATTCTTTTAAAAGAGCTACATATAAGTTGCCACATATGCATAGCACAAATTACATGCTTTACACAAAGATGTTAAGTGACCAAAAACAGTGAAAGGCACAAGAAGGAAAAGTAAAGACTGGGTATCATGCAATGGGCACAGTTACTCCATGGGTAACTACATTTTTATTTAAAAAAAAATTACATTTCAAGTGCAGACTTTCTGAAGTCAAAAGGCAATTAGACATTATTTAGTTCAATTTTATTCTCCCTGTTATGCCTGATACATAAGCAGCCAAATCTGACTGGGACAGTTCCAATGATAACATTGGGATGTTAGACCTAAGCCTTAGAGAGGTTACAAATAGGAGTCCCACAAGATAAATTCATCCTACCCATATGTTCGGTATAAGAGATGAAGTTTTCAAAAATAAATTAATGTCAAAAAATTGGAATATTGTAAATAAATTTCAAAATTTGAGTTTTAAAACTATTGAACTTTTCAATACTGCTACTCACTCTATCACTCTATACATGGCATGCACTTTTCAGTTTGCTAATATCTTTATCCAGCCAGTTCACATATTTATATTATTGGTCCCTGTTCACATTTATGTCTGAGACTCCTATTGTAGGTCTTCCTTACACTGAGCCAAAATGTATTTTGCTTTCACTTGGTTCAGTTATCACTTTTATGTTCTCTGTAAAGAAACTTAATGTCTAATTCCTTGTGATACAACAGTCAATTAAGTATTTAAAGAGAGTGGCTCACGCATGTAATCCTAGCACTTTGGGAGGCTGAGATGGGTGGATCACTTGAGGTCAGGAGTTCGAGACCAGCCTGACCAACATGGTGAAACCCCGTCTCTACTAAAAATACGAACATTAGCCAGATGTGGCGGCACATCTGTAATCCCAGCTACTAGGGAGTCTGAGGCAGGAGAATTGCTTGAACCCGGGAGGTGAAAGTTGCAGTGAGCTGAGATAATGCCACTGTACTTCAACCTGGGCAACAGTGAGACTCCATCTCAAAATATTTAAAAAATAAATTAAAAAATAAATTAAAATATATATATATGATATACACATATATATTTTTTAAGGGAGCTATAAGTATTCTCACCCCTCCAAAACCTTTGAACAGAGAGTTGATATCATTGGCCTGTGGGTATTCATCTTAACTACATTCAAATTTTGATCACAGCATCTTAGAGGCCTTTTTGGTCTAGAGAAATATCAACAGTTCCTGCAGTTGCTTCTCATTTAACTTGGTTTTGTACCTTAAACTATTGCCATCTCTCTTCTCCAGTCATTATGTAGTCTGTCAACATTACATTGCTCAGAATGGAAAGTGTTGCTCCAGATGTAATCTGACTGCTGTAGCCTGTAACATGACTACTATTTCTGTTCTGAATACCTTACTGCTTTCATTGATACTTCAGATGTGGTGATGCTTCTGGTTACAGATGATGAATTAAACACAAGAATTGAGCAGTGTTCTCCCTTGAAACTGCATTAAAAATAAGGATAGGGTTTGGCAGCTGGACAGGAGGTATACCTAATTTAGCACATCCTAGAAATCCAAGTCCAATTTTGATCACAAACTCCCAAAAAGTTCAGAATTCAAGGCATCATATTCCTCGGGAAAAGAGGACATAAACAGTTGAAAGTCTGTTTAGGAAACAGATTCTTATGTCCCAACTATCTCTGCTGCACTTTGAAAGAAGGCTGGAGAAGTTTCCTCTAGAGAAGGTAAAACAGTGGGTCTCAGGGCTGGTAGATGACAAGGAAACTTGAGAGCACTTAAAAGCAGTTGGGGGTCCAGGCGCGGTGGCTCACGCCTGTAATCCCAGCACTTTGGGAGGCCAAGGTGGGTGGATCACGAGGTCAGGAGATAGAGACCATTCCTGGCTACACAGGTGAAATCCCGTCTCTACTAAAAATATTAAAAATTAGCC